TATATATATATATATATATATATAATATATATATATATATATATATATATTTTTTTTTTTTTTTTTTTTTTTTTTTTTTTTTTTTTTTTTTTTTTTCTCTTTTTGTATCTTTTCTCTCTTTCTCTCTTTGTTATTGTTATTTGTGTGTGTTTTTTTTTTCTTTCGCCAAAAGAATGGTTGCAATATATTTTTTTTTATCAATGTTAAATCTTGTTTTTTTTTTTTTCTTTTTTTGTTATCTTTCTCTCTTTCTCTCTTTGTTATTGTTATTTGTGTTTGTGTTTATTTTTCCATCTTTCGCCAAAAGAATGATTGCAATGTTAAATCTTGTTTTTTTTTTTTTTTTTCTCTTTTTTTTCTTTCTCTCTTTCTCTCTTTGTTATTGTTATTTGTGTGCGTGTTATTTTTTCTGTCTTTCGCCAAAAGAATGATCTAAACTAAAAGTCTAAATTTAATATAAATTAAATATTTTCTTCTTTTTTCTTATTTTTTCTTTATTTTTCCCTTTATCTATTTCTTTCTTTGCTGCTTCTTCTACTTCTTCTTCGTCTTTCTCTCTCTCTCTCTCTTCTCTCTCTCTCTTCTCTCTCTCTCTCTCTCTCTCTCTCTCTCTCTCTCTCTCTCTCTCTCTCTCTCTCTCTTTCTCTTCCTCTCTCCATCCCTCCCTCCCTCCTTCCCTCTCTCTATTTCCCTCGCTCTCTCTCTCTCTCTCTTTCTGTTTCTTTCCCCTTTGTCTTTTCCCCGCCCTTTGTTTTCTTCTCCAAATTTCCCCTCTTCCCTCTTTCCTCCCCTCCCCCCCTCTCCCCTTCCCCCCCCAATCTTCCTCTCTCCGGTCTATCACTCATTCCTTCCCTTCTCTCTCGGTTTCCCCTCTTTCTTTTTTTCTTTTTCTCTTCGTTATCTGTCACCTATTCATCTGTCTTGTCTCTTTGTCTGTCTTTCTATTCAACTGAATGTCTATCTGTCTATCTATGTATTCATATTTATCAGTTTTATATAAATCTGTCTATCTTTCTATTTAGCTAGCTATTTCTGTCTGTGTCATTTATGTGTATAATATGTATGCATGATTATTTGAATGTACAG